TCTTGGATTCTTTGCTGCACGTTCGCTTCGTTCCTCTTCCAAGTTGTAGTGGTTGACTGCTAAAATGTTTAAATTTATTAAAAACTGTATAAGACAATATGTAAATTATGATCGAAATGAATGTTTATTTTACATACTTAAACTGTGTTTCAACCATCGCACAGTGATGATACAACTCATCATCGTATGACGAATCGAACAGTTGACCCCTCTCCATTTCTTCACAAACTTTAGACAACTCCTGATTTAATTCGCTATTGAATAGTTCCGTATTCTCTTCCATGATTGTGAAGAAAAAAGCACTGGTGCACACTTCACTGAAGTTTTCCCTTCCTCTTTTTTATTTTTGATTCAGCTTCAAAAAAATGATCAATCGATTGCGATTTTCTTTTTCCACCATCGCATGTGTTATTATTAATGACGAGGTTATCACTCTCTTCTTGAGGGGAGAGTGGCGAGTAGTAATACTGTTTATAGGTATCTTCATCGAAGCTCAATGATTTCTGCAACAACACAGTTATCATGTTAATATCAATTTGTTAACACTTAATCATAAAAGTTAAAAAAGTTAAAGTTACAGCCTATTAAAGTTCACTGCTGAACATAGGCCTCCTCTCATTTCTGAGAGGGTTTTAGAGCAAGGAAATGTCCACCGCGCTCCCTCAATGTGTGTTGGCGAACTTCACATGCCTTCGAAATTTTCTCAGACATGCAGGTTTCCTCACGATGTTTTCCTTCACCACCAAGCACGTGGTAATAAGCACTTAAAATTGCGATTAACAATTTAATTGGTGCTGGCGGGGATCGAACCCGGGTCGCGTACTGTGAAATTTACAGCTAGCGCTAACCATCTGAGTTACCACGGCTTAATCATATACATACACAATATTTAAATAAAATAATACACACACATGAAAATAACAGAAAAAAAGTAATTTAGTCAATAGAATAAACACTTACATCCATAGCCTTTGGTGTATTGAAGTAACACAAATGTACTATTGATAGATCCACTGTAGTCAAACGACCGTACACTAACTCGATGACTGCGTCTGTTGGTCTTATATACCACCAGTACGTAAAAATTCTAATCTAAAGTATTTCCGTAATGAGTTGATAATTACTTTATGCGTCAACCAGTTTATCTCACATTTCCGTTGTCTATCTCAACATTTCTTCGTATTGTGTTTTGTTTGGTGATCAATGACTCAAGTACGATTTGTATAACACAAAAATGCAATTTAATATTTAGAAACATATCAGTTTATCTCACATTTCCGTTGCCTATCTCAACATTTCTTCGTATTGTGTTTTGTTTGGTGATCAATGACTCAAGTACGATTTGTATAACACAAAAATGCAATTTAGTATTTAGAAATCACTATAATTGACCATTCCTATGTTATTCATTGAGTAGATTGGTACTGTAATAATCTACTAATAGCAGTAATATCATGGATACACTAGATGTACAACAACATCTGAAAAAGATTCACCCCAGTCTAGAAAATAATGTTTATGCAGCTAATAGACTGCCTATGTATACCCACGTACCAACGTATATAATATGTAATTTGGATACAGATGATAAACCAGGGTCACATTGGGTAGCTTTATATATCGATACGAATGACGTCGGTCAATATTTTGATTCATATGGACGATCACCTGTACGATATCATCTAGAGTTTTTAAAAAGGAATTGTAAAAGATGGAACTGGAATGTTGATAGGATTCAGAATGAGTGGACTTCAGTTTGTGGCGAATATTGCTTAATGTATTTGCTATATAAGTTTCAAGGATGTTCAATACATAGTTTTACGAGTATATTTACAAGGAACACATTGTACAACGATATTTTAGTGGATGAGATGTTTCGCTTCTATTTTATAGATAATAAGTAATAAGATTTTGTATTTTATAAATAAAAATTGTAACAAAATTATGTAATGTGTTTTATTGATGATTCAGATTAGCGTTGTATAATTAGGAACAAAGAAGTATAATACAATAGCACTGATATAGTCGACGCACACGCTGCAATGAAGGTGATTAATGAACAATAGAACAATAGAAATAGGAACAATGGGACGCTAATGACGGTGGAGGCCCTTACCGGATATCAATTAGATATTAGCTAATTGATCTACACATCTCCGGAACCGTGCATTCTACACAAAAATGGACCGCGGATTCGTGATCAGAGCATGCCAAAACCTTTTTTTTTTTTTTTTTGTAGGATCGTGTGTCGACGAACGTCGTTGAACCACGTCTGACTCAGGTGGTCTAGAAGTGGTACAACTACACTACTGACGTCACGTCATGTTCGACGAATCGGTATTGATTACACAGTAAAGTAAATACTTCTGATATGAAGTAGAAATAAATTTCGAAACGTATAATTGCCTTTAAATGGTATGGTATTGGTATTAAATGGTTAAGTGATTATGTTTCAAATAATTAAACCTGAATACTACTGAACTACTGAAATACTACTCCACTAGAAGGGGGTCGTAACCGCCAGTTTTAGTTGAAAATCCACTAAGTTGTCAACACTAGTCCTTGGTAGAGTTCGTAGAGGTAATGCGATTTAAAATGAATTAAAAACATAGATCTGAACGGCAATGCTGCGACATTCGCCCTTATAATTACACAAATAAGCAGCATTAAAAAAAACTGCCTTGCATAATTTTAACAAAAAAAAAGTAAAGTTAAAACCAAAAGTAGTACGCGTAATATTATTTTGTAAATTAAATCTTCGCATAATAACGCAAAAGCATTTTAACCGCTTCGTTGTTGCAGACGTCTCGTGTTCATCATCATTATCGTAATCCCGACATCACCACAAGACAACAACACTGAGCAATGACTGTAAAACCAATTTAAAAATAATGACTGTAAAACCAATTAAAAAAGAATAGCAATGCCTACTATCATCTAACCTTGGATATTCTTCATCCACTAGAATATTCAAAAGTGCAAATACAAAAAAAAAACGGACAAGTACAAGTCTGACTTGTGCACTGATGAATCTGTACAGACTCGTATGTATAGTTTATCCATTACAAGAATCAAGTCTCGATTTTTTCAGAGTATGTTTTAAGTTACTCCGAGAGTGAGTTAGTGTTCACAGGATTCGCCTTAGCGTTATCGTGACTTATCATTATAATGTGAAATTGTTATTGCAAATGCAACTTGCGTGTTTTTAATGGACCACGAATACCGTAAATTGACAAAGATAAGATTAATTTACTTATTTATATATTATAAGTACGTATAACAGTTAGGTAACAATTAGATAATTGTATAGCTACTTTCAAAAAAATAATTAACATTCCCTACTGAGGTTCATAAGTTATGAAAGCACCGAACATTACTCTGACGAAGAGATAAATGAAGGACAAACTAATTTCGTAGTTGAAGAAATGTTCTCTCATACGTCACTTTCAATTCACCAACTTCAAATGTAACGAATGCAATTAACAATTTTCGGAATTTTGCAATTTTATACGTGGTAGAGCCATGCTACACCTATATTAGTAGTATAGTTGTAGCACGAATGGGTCGGCTCGACCGGGGAAGGACCACGCTCTCACAGAATACCAGCGTAAAATAGCAGCTTAACACTGCTGTGTTTCGTATGGTGAGTGCAGAGAACCGGAGACCCTTTTCACTGGAAAAGAACCATACCATTTTAGTCCTCACGGGTGACAACGCATCTGCATTTCGATTTTTTATTGAAGATATGTGTGGGTCACAGCAACACATCAGGTGGACTGTGTGCTCGTTTGTCACCCTATCCTATAAAAAAAATTGTCTTTACTTGTAATGTGAGATCTTGCATCTTGTCAATTTTAATTATTCCAGGTAAACGGGAAGTACCATATAGATTTTGATTTATTTGCGAGTATCCAAATATGCGGCAAAATGGCCTTATTAAGAGCTCCAAGGGACCGTAGACTTACGTACTTAATATTAATTTCAACTTGATGCCCTCATGTATTCCTGAGAAAATGGTTCTAACCAGACAGACAGACGGACTAACAACGAAGTGATCCTATAAGGGTTCCGTACTTTCCTTTTGAGGTACGGAACCTTAAAATTAACTTGGATTTAAATAATAATAAGTAGGTTAGTTATAAATAGTAGATTCTCTGCTGTAACTAATGTAAAAATGATGTGTCAATATGAGTAGGATTACAATCTGACACATAACTGTAAAACACCTGTTTTATGTAATTTTATTTCAATCTGTTTTGTTGTCTAGACGAGATATAAATAATAAGAGTAGAACGAGCATTTTACCTTGTTCTACGACAATAGTCGAACGTGCCCCTGACTTATTACTTTCGCAGTTCATGTCTTTAACCATTATGGCGAGAATATACGACGTTATAAGGTTAATGCATTTATTAGTCCTCACTTCTCCGCTGGATGTATATTTGTCCGAAGTAAGCAGGCGACATTCTATGACGAAGGAAGAAGGAGACATTTTTGCTTATTATCTCATACCCATCTCATCTAAACATCTCATTCATGTTGTTGAAAAACACTATATTATGTGTATTGCTTAAAAAACAGATTCGTAAGTGAAAGCTTTTTCCCGGCGATTAAATTGTACCTTTTTCATCTTGATTGATATAAATAGATGAAGAATTTAATTGAGTGTTTCATATATGCGCATATTTTTTCAAACTTAGGTATACTATTTCAAGATGTATCAATACTCGAGGGTCTCATTAGGAATGACAAAATGTATACATCATAACAAAGAGCTACAATAGTAAAACTACTACTGCTACCATAACAATATTGTAAGGCCACTAGTGTATAGACGCTAAAGTCATTTCACATCTTTAATTGTTTTTAAACGAAACACAGTGACTATATTCTATGATGTAAGTGCTAATAGTCAGTTGACTTTTACAGCTTTATCGGACACAGTGTTTGCGTGGAACAAAGTAACCGCTAAGTTACGTGGCGCTAAGACATCTCCTTACTTGTAGTGTTTGATTGCACCGCGGCGTTGAGTGATGCGTTTGCCACGCGAGCGTCGCACCTCGCCGTCGCCGTACTCGCTCCGCCCGCCCGGGAACCACTGGAAAAGCAATTGTAAATAATGTAGCTATTTACACGTGGTAGAGCTACGCTGGTTGTAGCACGAACGGGTCGGCTCGACCAAGGAAGGACCACGGTCTCCCAGAATACCAGCGTAAAATAGCAACTTTAATGCTTCGCATTGTGAGTGTAGAGCATCGGAGACATTTATTACTGAAAATGAGGCATTCCATCTTAGTCTTCGAGGGTGGCAACGCACCTGCATTTTGATACTTAACTGAAGGTAGGAAGATGTATCTATGGGCCACCTACGTACATCTCCATTTACATCAGATGGACTGCGTGCTAGTTTGTCACCCTTATTTTATAAAAAAAAAATTGGCTTGTGTTCAAAGTACAATAATAAAAATTTAGGTTAGGTCCATTAAAGAACTAATTAATCACTAAAAATTTCTGATGATCAGTCAATTATTTTTGCTGCTTATATTTTGTTATTTTGATGGTCATTTTATTATATTTCAATGCAATAATGAGAAAATGCTATTACAGAGAAATATTCAGTTGAGTTGACATTTCAATTCATGACAATTGCTACATTGGTGACATATTTATTGGAAGTAAATGGAAGTAAAGACTAGAAATGTTGAATGTTGGGGGGGGGGGGTGTCTTTAGGCCTAGTCAGTTTGAATAGCCTATCATGTAGAGGATGTCACGGGGGTCATGGTTGAATTGGGACAAAAAGTTCTTATTACACTCCTAGGGTGTCAAAATGGCCAAAAACCAAAAATTGGGGGGGGGGGTGGCTCGAACTTTAGGCATAGTCAGTTTGAATAGACTATCATGTAGAGGATGTCATGGGGATTATGGTTGAATAGGGGCAAAAGGTTCTCATTACACTCCTAGGCGGCCAAAATGGCCAAAAACCAAAAAAAATTAATTCTTTTTTCGGCTATAACTCCGTCTTTTCGGAGGTTCTTAGACAGTATTTACTTCCCGCATCCCACTTGTTTGTATAAATATAAACCAAATGACTACACCTGTTGTAGATTAGATAATAAACGGAAAACAATCTGAATATTATATTTATAGCGTTACAATCACCAGATTTACAAAAAGAAAGTCAACATTTTCAAAGCTGAAGATACACCCATCCTATATTTTTTGGGCTGTACAGTAAAGTACATAAATTTTCATTCATTCAACACATCTTTTAAACTGGGCGGATAATGGCAAGTTTTAAATAAGCGAAAGCATGCGCATTGTTGAATTTATACTACTGTACAAACACTTCAGCACTTCGATATACCGACAGTTAACTTGGCACCGCTGAAGGGACTGCAGCAGCACCCAAAATGTGGCCTTTTTGGAAACCGGCTTGTTCGGGAGGCTGGAAGTCGTCAAGTCTGCGTGCGAGACGATTCGTAATGACTCTCGAAAACAGCACGTAGACGCGGCTCAGAAGGGAAATCGGTCTGTAGTTCCTCAATAGAGCGTTGTCGCCTTTCTTGAAGAACAAGACCACCGCACTTCTGCTCCACGCCTCCGGAGTAGTGCCGCCATGGAGGACGGAATTAAAGATATTTTGATGGACTTCAAGTACCGGTTTTCCACCCGCTTTTATTACATCTCCGCTGTAATTACATCTTCGCCCAGGGACTCTCCGTTTTTAAAGTGCTGGAGAGCCATTCTAATCTCGCTCAGACTGACGTCCGGAATATCTTCGGAATAGTGTCGGATAAGACTCGCTCTTGGATCGTTACTCACACTTGCGTGTGGCTTCAACGATGACGTGTACAGCTGCGCATAGAACCTCTCAATGTTACTCAAAATCTCAGGTGTCCCGGAAACGATGCTGCCACACACAGCTTTGACAGTTGGCTCTTTCTGGCAGACAGATCTCTGGCAAAGACTTTGGAGCCTCGGTTCCGAGCGATCGCTTCTTCAATACAAGCTGTATTGAAGTTGCGTAAGTCCCGCCGCATGCTTTTGGAGATCTGTCTATTCAGTTGCCTGAATGCTGTCAAATCTGTTGAAGAATGTAGCTTCATCTCCCGTCTAACAGCCATGAGATTAAGAGTAACTTGTCTATCTCTACTTCCAGCTCCACGATCTTCTCGTCAGTCCTCAGGGTGCGTGCGTTATATGTTGCCAGGTCGAGTCGTCGTAGGTGGCAACCGAACCTCCACCGGAGATTCTTAGCACCCCCTGCCCCGCCGTTACCATGGTCGCCACCGTAGCCAGGAATAGCGGGGCCGCCGGGGACTGGGGGCTGTCTCTTTATTACTCTCATCATAGGGGGGGTATTTGCCATAGTTGCCACGCTTGGCGAGCGGGTTGGCAACCGCAGTTTTTTTAATGTAATTTTGCTGTTATTAGGAAGATGCTGCTGCCCATCTCCTGCTTGTTTCCCTTTGTCGCCTTTTACGACACCCACGGGAAGATATGGGGTAGTGGATATTCTTAACAGCCACTTCACGGCTATAGATAGCGTGATGATATAAATTAATTCTAATAGCGGGTCAACGGACTTTGTCTGCGTAGCGTGATTGTACAGACTTAACGTGACGTCTCACGGTGGTGCCGATGTACGCCACACAGCCTGTATACGTCCCACTCCTCGGTCAGGCCTCCTATCATTGTTGAGAGTAAAAGAGTTCACCACCCCATAGATGTGAAATGGATGGATACTAACGATATATTTCAGTAAAGCCATTTGTTATATACGCCACATATAAATTACACAGATTGACGTAGAAAGACAGCATCAAATGTACGATAGAGAGTAGTACTGTAACAACTAATTCGCCTATCAAGGCTCTCTTTTGCTAAATTGTACTAATTGAGTTCACCTAGGTTGGTAGCAAGCTCTATTCTATTTCTGCTACCTAATATACTATACGCACTGCTGTTTTGCGGTTTAAAAAACGATAACTGGCTGTGAGGTATTGATGTCAGTCATCATTCATAGTCATCTACGAGTACGTAACAACGCCTATTTGGCCTACTTTGAAAGGATAAGGAAACATGTTATTTACACTGATTAATACTATTCTGCTCATTTTCGACTCGTCATCTCGAGGGTAAATAACTGAACTGAACTGAGTTTGCTCTCTGAGCAATATTAATCGCTGAGCTAGGTCCTAGAGCACATGTACATTTAAATCTTAAGATTGTATTATTATTTTTGTAATACGTCACTTTGTGCCTAGTTTAGTTACTGAATTTACGTGTGTGATTGGAGAAACAAATTAATACTTTATATAATATCTATCTATCTTATCTATCTTTGTTAGAAGTTGGGTGCGGGTGTCCACGGGCTGCAGCTTCCACATTCCATCACGTAAGCTAATTGTTTGTCACTCCTATATTATAAAAAATGTACTCGTATATCCAGCACAGAAGTGCGTACGTACTCATCATCAACGTTTCCAGTTTATATGATCTATTGACAAATACGATATTACCTGTTTAAGCCTTTTAAAAGTCTACTGCTGAACGTTGGCCTCCCCCATAGATTGCTTAATTGACGGGATATTTGCCGCGGATGCCTCGCTTTGCGGGAACGTTTACAACCGCAGTTTTTTATTTTTTATTTGTTATTAGGAAGACACTGTTGTCCATCTCCTGCTTTGTTTCCCTCTGTTGCCCCTTACGACACTCACGGGACGATGTGGAGCGTTCCTCGCAAGAACAAGGCTTGTATAAATAAAATAGACTTCTTGGACTCTTGAATATAATTATTGAATGTTATAAAAAAATATCAAATAGATATACGGGTTAAACGATTGTGCGTTAGTAGACGGACGAGTTTAGTACTAAACGTAGATGACGAAGCCACTACAAATAATAATTGTTGTCGCAGCCATGGAATATTGGATATTCTTACACCGCCACTACACGGTTATACGACTATGATAACTTTGAATAAGTAAAAGTATATAATAGATACGACTTAGGGACCTTCAAGAAAAGAGCTTACCCTTTCTGAAAGGCCGGCAACGCATCTGCAATTCCCCTGGTGTTGCGGTTGTTCATGGGCGTCGGTAGTGCACTTACCATCAGGTGAGCCGCATGCTCGTTTGCCCCCTCTTCTATAAAAAAAATATAAATATATTAAAATACTTTATATTCATATTAATATACTAATATTAAACAATTTTTATATAATATTATCTCTATGTATAAAATCAATTGCTGTCCGTTAGTCTCGCCAAAAACTCGAAAATGTCTGAACTGATTTTTTTGATGAAATTGTTTATGTTTGAGTGGGTCCCTGAATGGCTTAGATTCACAATTGGACCCGGTAGGTGGCGCTGTTGTTCAGATCCAGTAATCACCCGGGCGAATCCGGGACGGATCGCTAGTCATCAATAAAAAACTGGTCAAGTGCGTGTTGGGTCACGCACAATGTAGTTTCGTTCCGTAATTGCCCGTCACAATACGTGGACATTCTTGATAATGAGCATAATAAATAAGTTCGCGCTTTGACCGCTATAACGACTAAAAATGGGCCCAAATAAGAAGATTGTGACTGAAGGACTTATTTTCAAATCAGACTAAAACCTGGCGTCGACTACAGCAGAAATGCATCGAATCGAAGCGAGTCGCATTATTCTTAGTGCGTCCATCTCTGACGAATCGAATCGAATTGTTCATTCATCGCAAATTCTTCATCAAAATAGGTTGTATTCGCGTCATGCACAGCTCGGATGTAGTTTCATAGTAAATATATAAGAGGCGACTTTCTGCGATTCGATTCGACTCGGCTCGGCGAGCCTAGTTGACGCTTAGCCTTATAGGGCACTCCCTATAATATACTTTTGAATACCACTGTATTCAAAAAAGATTTTAAAAAACTTTTCGATTTTCAAAATAATACCCTATCTAAGTATCTCGCAAATGAAAAAGTAAAGCTAATAGTAGTATTAATGCATATAAGTCGTTTTCTTCATAAAATTTTTATTTTTGATTGTACAATAACATTACAAAGATATAATGCAGGTAGTTTTAGGTAATTTCTATGGAGTTGTAACGAAATT